GTGGGGCCGCCGGGCCCTCCCGAAGGAACTGCGGCCTGCGGAGAGCCACGACAACGGAGAGGGGGTTTCTCCTCCATTGCCCCTCCTCCCAGTCCCAAATTACAAAGCTGTATCAGGTATGTAATCCTTATTTAGAACATGGTTATGAACCTTCTCTATTAAATTAACTCTATCTCGTCACAGTCATTTCACATATCTTTCCACAAGTTACCAATACAGGAATGCAACTGTAAGGACTAATAAATTACTCGTCATCACCTGCACTGCGTCTGCCCAACAACCTGTCTAATTGTATACCATGCTAATTGCAAAAGCCTTGAGAAAGACTCACTCAGCAGGGAGATGCCACCATCCTGTAACCTCCCAGCCTCCTGCGCTTCAGGGTCATCCCACGCACAAGGCAATGCCTCTATGTTTAATAATACCTAATAAATTTTTCTCTCGTCTTTTTCTAGTTCTTCTTAAACCAGTGTAGAAATGGACAATCCACAATGTCCCCTGGCACAGCACTCCACCGCTTAACAGTTCACTGAGAAAAATCACCCTCTCCTTTCCTTCGCAGCCACTTGCTCATTTATTTTTTGTTAGAAGAGACAGCGAGTGTGGTGCCCATTCACCTCCTCTGTACTGGTCATGAGTTTGGAACCCTCTCCTACGCTCCCCTTGACCTTCTCTTTTCCAGCATGAAGAGGTCCATGCTGTGCAGCTGGTCGTTGTGGACAGAATCACACAGAATGGAGAAGGAGACTCCACAACCCCTCTGGGCAGCCTGTTCCAGTGCTCTGTCACCCACAAAGTGAAGAAGTTCTTCCTCGTGTTCACCTGGAACATCCTATGCTTCAGTTTGTGTCCATTGCCCCTTGTCATGTCGCTGGGCACCACTGAAAAGAGTCTGGCCCCATCCTCCTTACACCCACCCTTGAGATATTTATAAACATTTATAAGGTTCCCTCTCAGCCTTCTTCAGGCTAAACAAGCCCAGCTCCCTCAGCCTTTCCTCGTAGGAGAGATGCTCCAGTCCTCTCATCATCTTTGTAGCCCTCCGCTGGACTCTCTCCAGTAGTTCCTCATCTTTCTTGAACTGGGCAGCCCAGAACTGGACACAGTACTTTCTTAACTCTGTCGTACTTGTTGTCTCTGATTTGCTTCTGATGGTTTTATTATATCCTGTTCTGAGAGGGGAACATCAGAATGGCATGCAGTATTCAAAACGTATATGCATTACGGATTTACAGTGGCATGATTTTTTGGTGTTGTTTGGTCTTTATTACCTTTTAAAAAAGTTGTTAAGTTTCTGTTTCTTTTTTGATACCTATTGAGCACTGGATTGATGCTCAACTATTGTTTTCATAAATTATCTACTTTAAACCTAAGATCTGATTCCTACATGGTAACAGTCAACTCAGAACCCCTTGTTCCATACACAAAATCAGGGTGTTTTCCTCTTATTTGCAACATTTATCTATACTGAATTTCATCTGCCATTTTATTGACTAGCTATTACCATATTGCTACTAGGTGTAGTTATGCAACTCTTACAATAGTTAGTCCTCCTCATTACTACTTTGATTAACTAACTAATATTTCTAAACAGTTGTACTTTGCCAAGCAAGATCAATTAATGAATACACTGAATAGCACAATCCCTAACCTCTGGTGTCGCATCTTTTTAAGCATTAATATGGCTCTCTGTAGGGGTTGCACAATTATATTTGTCTTCAGCACATACATAATTGTTAAGTACCTCTTTCATGTGGTTCTGCTGCAGAAAACTTTGCAATGAATCCACTTCCAGCAGTATTAGCATCTGAAGTCATCTGCACCAACATTTTATTGCTGTTGGATACAAGGGCACCTGGTTTCACAGTACCACAGAACCTGCCGATGCGTTGCCCGTTGGCATGGCCGTTGTATATATCCACAAAATCATATCGGCACAAGTTGTCACTTTCCAGGTCCAAATATCTAAAAGAAAGAACCACGACTTTTCCTTCTGGGACCTGCAGAGAGAGTGAGAGGGAGGGAGACATGTATCTTGAAGCGTGACTGACACCACACATCTACCTGATCCCACTATTTGCATGAGTATTTTCATATCCTTCACTTCTCGACAGGTAAGCTCTTTTTGTCAACTATATTCCAGGCAGAGTGGTTTTTAAAATCATATTGGCCCAATCGTAAGAACAAAGCTCTGGCCATCTCTGTTGCCATTATCTTCTTCCTGAGCCACAGTATCATCAAGTCAGGCTCCTATGGTTGATCAGATACCATCACTGCCCAGTTCAGCTTGGCACATTTCTCTTCTGCTGAAAGTATGCAATCAGCCATGCAGCTCCCTGCCACCAAGTAAGGTGAGGAGGGTGAGATTAATATGGTTTGAAAGAAAAATATGAAACAAGCAATTTACAATTTTGAGCAAATGAAATGGCCTCTCTTATCTTGCTGGTTTGTGTCACAAAGTTTCATAATTTGAAGGATTTTTTTATTTACCGACACACGACTTACATTTATAAACAGAACTAGGAACTTTATGGCTAATGCTGTACAACCCTAATATTTAGCTATAGAAGTGGGTACATTTAGCTTGAAGGCTGCAGTGAAAGAATTATATTTGGAAAGAATATGTAAAACTATAAACAGTGAGCCTGAAAGAACCATTAGTGGGTATCCTCAATACCAAAAAGTTTTGTTTTCTGAAACATCTGAGGAAACGTAAGACAGGGCAAATCTCACATGTCTGCATCTGTAGACACTGCAAAAGAGGCAAGAGTACTGAGAAGGATGTAAATTAAGGGAGCGCAATAGTTTACAAGGAGGAGAACATATCCTGGGATACACTTGCAAGCTTTTAAGAGACTAAGCAGCACACTGAGAAGTGAAAACTATTCTAACAAAGCACTCAGTGCCACGTAACAGGACAGGAAGAAGAGAAACAGTCTCTTAAAGCATAGAGGGACCCTAGACAGGCAAAGGGGAATTAGCTGCACTCAATTCATAGCCCGGTAGAGTGGTTACCTATTAAAATCATTGCAGCTGTTCTATTTTACTGAGACACTGCTGTTATTTTCTGCTTTAAATACATAACACACATTTATATATCTGCAGTAAGTCCATATTTAAGCCACTTTATTTAAGCGTTCATGAATTTTTTCCTTCCTTAACAGTGACTCATTTTAAAACACCAGTTTGAGATAAACTACAATGAAAATGTTCCTATATGAAATTGTCAAACAGTATTTTAATGTTGTGAGTTTGAACAGTTAAGAATGCCCTGTCAGGTATAGATGGAAGCGACCATTTAACCCACAGAAGATAGTACTACAGGCAGCAGCTCTAGATGTAGTGAAAAATGTGCTGTAGATATGTTAAGGTTACTCATTCATGCCGCTGCCTTTGTGTCCAGTGCTGATACTGATCCTGCATGAGCTGTTTTCATCTGCCTGGGACCCACGTACACACTGGCTGACCAGCCCCACTGCAGTTCCTGTTGCTGGTTTCAGAGTATTTTCCTTTAATCCTTGTTCAAAGTTCTCTCAAAAATGCATTCAGTTCCCCTGTGCTGATGTACATCACTACTACTATATCAAAACCACAAAACTCATCTAATCTTACCCAGAAATTCCAAAGCACAATGACTATCCTTTAGAAAACTTCAAAGCCAGATGTTAGGTTTAAAATTCACACCACTGAAGTGAGCAAGCCCTATAGCTGGTATCAGAAAATAACCCACATGTGTATTTAGTCAGCATAAGGCCAACACAGACACATGGTCATTATCTTGTACATTATACGTATATTGTATGTATCATATATGTATATTATACATATATTATATTGTCTATTGTAAGATACTTTGTGAAAGCAATGTGACTCCTTGAATCACTAAATTCTCACAGCTCTCATAACTAAATCTCTTATTATTGCATTCGCTTGTCTTCTGGTCTGAATCACTAAGAAGCATTAAGACATGGTCATTTTAACAGAAAAAGGAGCTAAAAGGAATTCGGTATTCCTGTCAGAAGACCTGAATGTTATTATGGTTATGCTACAAACGCTATGTGACCAGACAAATCAGTTCAAAAACACTGGCTGTAAAGTTAGCCAGACAAAGTCAGATTTAGGCAGTTAAATTAAAGCAGCCTTTTTATCAGAAGTATGTGTGTAAATAACATACACTCTTTTGGGGTGGGAACACTCATTATTTGTAAGTTCGTACAACTGCTATAATAGGATCCAAATGAGGTGACCTTTAAAGGTTATCATATTTTAATACAAACTGAGCTGTTATGCCTACAGTTAAGGTTGTCCAACATTTTCCACTACAAAACACTGTTTACACTGTCTTGGAGCTTTGCTACAACTTACCCATCTTTAAGAAGTTACCCTCTTTTCTTCCACTGTTTCTGAAAGTTGAGCCGAAGTTGCTCTGTCATATGAAATTCAATAGTTATGTCAGTGCTTATGAGATTTTTCCCTGCTTTCTCATCTTGAATTGCTACTTTGAAGACACCTAGTCCCTCCCAGAGTCTGAAGAAGGAAGTTGAAATGTGAGAGGCTGGCTGATTCTGGGGTAAGAACAGGGCTTTTTGCTGTCCTTGTAGAAATGCACCCAGATTTAGCCAAGTGGTTATCCCTCAGTGATGCTGATGGGTGCTCACAGACAGCTTTGTTCCATGAGCACGTTGAGCCAGCACTGCTTTGCTCACACCAGCCTCACAGCACTCAGTCCTACCCCCAGGTTTTCCACCCCCTCGTACCGCCCCAAGCCGGGCACGGGGAAGCAGGACGTGGGACCAACCCACGCTTGGGAGGGAGAGCATGCTGGCAAAGCAGCCAAATGCTGAACTGCCAGCCAACCATTCACTCAAGTGTTGAGGTTTCCATTTCATACTATGAGTAATTCTGTGCAGCGTTGTACGCTTCCTTCTCTCTCTACCACAGACTATGTTATACTGTACTACATTATCTAATTTTATATATAGATATAATTGTACTTTTTAATCTCCCTAGCTTCTGTTAGTTCAGTCTACTTGATCTTTGTCGAGACTGTTCCCCACAGATGTACTGAGTTTCTAAGTTTTGTTTCATAACAGTTTGTAAGAAACGGTATAGGAAAAACTCAGCCACATGGTCATGAATGTCTAACAAGGAGCCCACTCCAGACTTCAGTTGTCATAATAATCCTTGCTCACATTTAGCTGAATTTGGGGAGATAAGTCATTTTCAGAAACGTGTAAACCGTGTCCCTTAAATCACAGGCGCTACTTACTGACATTACTTTATAAAATAAGGTCACTGCTTGTTAAAATAGTATTTGTCATTGTCATTGTTCACAAAAATAAAAAATGTGTTCCAGCATGTTAAATCAATTAAAAGTTTGTGGTTTGACCAGATGACTTTCAAGAGTGCAGAGGATGGTGGTTCCACATTCTGGCAGCAGCCACTCCAGTTTGCAGCTACTCCCAAGGAATCCCACCCTAAATACAGGCATTTTGCAAAACAATACTTTTCTTTCCTTTCTACCATTTCTCTTTTTTAAATGTTGAAAGCTAATGTGTTAAAATCTGCCAATGTTTATCCTAGAACATTTAAAATATTGCTCCATGAGAAACACAGGGGAGAAAGCAAAGGCCAGCATGACTCAGTTTTGTTTACTTTGAGCCACATCCGAGCCTGATGCAGTAAGATGATGGGATACCTCAGAGGAAAAAAGGGAGGATTCAACAGAAGAATATGTGATGCTTCTCCTGCAGGGTGTGCCTTATTTTTTTGTTTTATCCATCCAGCTGGTATCTTCCAACGACAGAGGCACTTCAGCTTCTGCCTCTCCTTGCCACACTGAGGGTGGCTTGCCCTTTTCTACCCTTCTTATTTTAACTCTATGAACTTCTTTAGGACCAGATATTATGATGCTAAACTCACGTGAAGGATGCCTTAGTCTGACTGAATGCTAAAGGAAAATAGCACTCCCTGAATTTTCAGGGGGAGTTTTTCTAGAGCGTAATTCCCTAAAATCATCTGTGTAGATTATTAACCTCTTCAGAAGGGCAAGATTATTTTATATATATAGAACCACCACAAAACAAGGTCCCTAGATTTTTTTTTTTGTTATAATTCATTGCAGGTTATTTCATGTAACGTTAATCAAAGTTCACTTACATTTAAAGTAGTTAAGCTGTTTTTCTGTTGTTGTTCTGACTGAACACAAAGCCCTCTTCATCACTGTGCCTCTTTCAGTTTCTGGGGAGGATTCCCAAGCTATTCCAAATTACTTGGTTTAGATTATTTGCTTTGAAAATAATCTTTTGGTAGGGAAAACCCTTTAAATGCCAACTTTCTGAGACAATATTTTGCCTAATTTTTAAACCTGTATTATATATGTTTAATGCATTTTGGGATATGTTTAATACCAAAATGCTGATTGTATGTTTTGCCACAGCAGTCCTAGGTAGGCTTGAAAAAATACATCAGCTACATGCAAACCAAATGTGCTATTTCTCCCTACTGAGAATTAATTTGAGAGTTATTTGGAGTTACATCTTGGGGAGAACCACAGTTCCTGCCTAGTTGCTTGTTCCCTAGCTCCATCCTTTCCAGCCACAAAGACACAACTTTTTTAAACATTTGTATTAGCTTGCTCTCCCTGACAAAGGCACTAGCTTCTGTTCAGCTGTTTCTTTTCTGTCCATACAACCATGCGTACAGAGCTGTTGTCTACTGGAAGGGCAGTTTCACAATGATACAGGAAAATGAATGCTTAAAATGTAGAGAAAATGATTTAAAATATTTCACTCCCCTAGGGCAGATCCCTGACTCCCCTGTTAAGTAAATATTTCAAACTTTGCTTATTGTCAGCAAACCCGCTGGAACACAGCTCCTGAATCTATAAAAATATAACCTTACATAACTCCAGGAGTCTTCAGTATTACTGTTGCACATAAAGTTGTTAGAGTTTTATGGGAACTACATAGGCTGCCAGAAAAACAGGACAGCAGTCCAGATTCTTGGGCTGTGTGACACATTTACGTGAGGTGATGGCCAAGAAGGATTACAGAGTATTAAAAGTAAACGTATATGACATATTTTAGATAAAGCTATATACATTACTATAGGAAAGGAAATAGCTATACAAATTACTTCTTAGCAAAGCCAGCTAAAAGCTGCTGGGTAGTCTGCCAAGGTTGTAATATAACCACAAGCATGTGCTGAACACTTCTTGGAGCTCTTAGAATAGAGAAGCTGTTTTCTTTAGCCAGCTGAAAAAGTCCCAGTCTGTTGGAATAACAGAACCATAATTGAGTTAGAGAGACTCTTCTAGTTTTAGCAAACCAGTTGGAAAGATTTCAGCTGATACCTGAATGCTACATTGCTTTATCTGTGCTACCCGTAACATTTTCTAAACCTATTTTCTTCTAAACAAAATGAATTAGCTGTCACTCTGCCTCTCTGTGGATTTCTTCTCTAGACGATGAGACCCTGTAGTAGAGAAAACAACAGCTTCAGGCTTTTCCTGACCCAGACGCAAAGTGAATCAATGTCTCTTGCAGACTTGTCAGATCCTGCATTAGGCAGGGTGTTTTCAGGAAGGTGCTTACAGCCCTTGGCTAAAACGGACAGGCGAAAAGTCTTAGTCACCTTCTAAGATCAGATGCTAAATGAGGAAGCCTAACAGTAACAACAGCATATTTCTTCATGGCAGTGTAACTGGCTTTCTTACTTGGGCGCTACTCCAAGCTATTCTGAGCCTCAGCAGTATCTGGTGAAAGGATTTTGTTGTTTAAATTCAGGCTAACCAGACTCTCGAGTGTACCACTTTCCCTCAGTTTGGTAAATCATCCTCTTTTTAGAGATGGTGCAGGCTTAGTCTTGCAAGTTTTGTAGTCCTTGCCTTCCCTACAGCCTTCCTGCGCATCCAGAAGACAGGGCATTCTACACAGCTGATGGGGGAAAAACCAGCTTGGCTTAGTGAACAGTGCTGTCTAATGGGGTTAAATGAGGTAGGGGCAGAAGAAAGCCTGGACTGCTACAGTTGTGCAGCCTTTCTCTGGCTTTGGACGAGCTACAGAGAACAGGAATGCAGCAGTTGAAGAGCAGGAGTAAATGGCAGCACAGCAGGAAAGTGGGAGTCAGGATGATCATGACATGCCAGAAGCCATCGAGTTCCTCCCGTGGTCAAGAAAGCCTGAGTGCAGACACAGCTCTGCTCCAGCTTTGTGGTAACTAGGCTAATCTGGATGCTCCCATCTCGTTGGCAACAGCCACACGAAGTCTGCAATAAAACCACTCTGTACGGACTCTTTAACTGTAAGCAGTTGTTCTCTTCTCCCTCTACCCCCAAGATATGATGAAGGGCAGATCCATGGGACGCTTCAGTAAATGCTTCTTCAGTGCTGTCTCCATTCGCAATCCAAGTTTTTTAATGGGAAAAACTTTATGCTGTTATAATAAAACCCGTTATTTTCCTCCAGATTCAATTTTCAACTTTTGAAGATCTAATACTGAATTATATTGGTAAACTAACTTTGGAGGTTTTTCCCCTTTTATGTAAGGCATCTCTTCAAGGCCAGGCTGGACGGGGCTTTGAGCACCCTGGTCTGGTGGAAGGTGTCCCTGCCCAGGGCAGGGGGCTGGAACAAGACAATCCTCAAGGTCGCTTCCAACCCAAACCATTCTATGATTCTGTGTGTGAAGGATTCCAAATGCGGTTTGTGTCTACTTCTCAGACTGTAAGGTGGGCCATGCTAACTGCTGCAACCTCAGCCCCTCGCCAGCAGGACGCACGTTTATTTCTGAGCGTACACTGTATTTCACATCACACTCCGCTGGATAAAGGGAGCCTCTAGCTTCTGGCCCTAATAATAAAGCAGCGCAAAGGTGCAGAAAGCAGCTGTTGCAGCCTCACTGGTATCCTTCAGATAAAATCATTAAAATGACATCACCCGTTCGGTACGAGAGTCGTTTTAACCGAACACTGTAAACAGATCAATGTCTCCTGCTCTGCGTCAGCATCGCTATAGTAGCAGGAGACAAAAGATCCTGTGACATCCCGTTCCACTGCCAACACCTAGCCTGTAACGCAGCCTTTGAACTGAAGTTGTCTTCAGTGATCCCGTCACCATACACTGATTTACTTTTTTATGCTTCCTTATACCTTTTTTTATTCTGTAAAGCCTGTATTCTAGGCCTGCACGTCACAGGAGTTCTCAGTGAACTGTGCCTAAAAAACGGAGAGGAAATTTGGTGGGCAATTTTGGAGGGCTTCATGTATGCAGATGTGAGGAAAAGTAATCGCTCATTCGAAACGCTTCCTCCGAGTCTCTCGGTAAGGGCACCGCCAGCGCAGAAGTGCTCTGTCCTAGCTGATGCGTGGCATTTGCTGTCCAGGCATACGATGGCTCTGCCCTGTCTCATTTCAGCATCAAAACATCAGTCGCTCCACGTGCTTCCGCATGGTCATTCGTAAAGGGAACAGCACTTCCCGATGGCTTTGCTGGCTTGCTGTATGACGTGCTCCAGAGGTCCTGGCTGGCGGAATGCTGTTCTTAGCGCACTGCAAGCAAACCTGCCGGAAGTTTTTTGGTTTTGTTTGAAACTTTCTCCTATTTCTTCTTGCCAACAAATTTTGCTTTTCATTATCTACGCCTCAAAGCTTTACTTCAATCCATTTGATCTAACCAACTATTGCTTTCTGCAGTGAGTGAAAGGGTAGATGTTTGCTTTTAAGCGGGTTAATTTAAAACAATTAGAGGTGTATCTATGGAAGCCATTGAAAGTTTGCTGCTGACATTAGGCAAGGTCAATTCTATTTCAGCCACTATCATCGTATTACAGCAACCCTAAAAAGCTCCAGATCGCTGAGCTGCTCTGAGTTACCGAGTTCATTATTGCATATGTGTTATCCCACATAAAACACTGGCATTAACAACAAATAGCTCTTCATTGTTTTCAGCACTGATTTTGTGATAGGAAAAATTCTTACTGTGATTTTCCAAGTACATTTGCTGTTTGGAGGGTAGACTCCAGGAAATCCTTCACTCCCAATAAACCCTGACTCTCCAGATACAACTCCTCCACATGTAAATGTAGGCCTGAGAATAACAGGAAAAATAGTGCTTAATTTTAAAATATATTTCATTTGTTCTTTCTATAATAGCAAAGAGGCATGGACTGTCTAGTACTTCAAAACACAGCTTAAATACTTAAAAACATTGCTAACTTTAAACATGTGTTTCATTGCTTACATAATTTCATTATTGACACAGAATGTGCATTTTAATATGCAAACTTAGGTGCCGAGAAAATTAACTACTTGGACTTTAATTCTGGGTTTACACAGGCTGTCATCCTTCCCTCCTTTTCTAATTCCTGAGATGGAAGGTGTGGTGGTGCGAGCCATCACTGCAAAATGCTATTATAATGAAATAATAATTATGAAAAAGTCATTAGTAATGATTTTTTTATAGTGTATGTAGTAGTAGCTAAAACGGCACGGTAATACAAATAACTTTTATTTCCTTTCTGTTGCTCCCTGAAATGCTGTGAGCTGAGGTGCTTCCATCAAGTGAGTCGCTTTGGAAGGGTTCTGTGCGGCGGGAACCCAACGCGTCCTGCTCCCCTGCTCTGGGGACC